CAGGGTTGACTCAGCCTTCCATCCTTCCGAGGTGGGTAAAATGAGGACCCAGATTGTTGGGGGCAATATGCTGACTCTCTGTAAACCGCTTAGAGAGGCCTGAAAGGCCTATGAAGCGGTATATAAGCCTACTGCTATTGCTATTACTTACTTTCCAAGGAGTTTTTTGTTGTCTGGTCTCTTGCATCCTTGGAGCTTCGAGCTTTGAGGTTCTGCAAAAGATGCGTAAGGCTCAGGTTCACTTTCTCCAGCCTGCATCGTGACTTGCCAGCTGTTCCTTGTCTGGCAACAGATGCTGCCTGGTTCCCGTGCCAAACCGAGATGAGGCACATGATCTTCCAGCACAGAAAGCAACAGCTCAGAGGTTACGCCTCTTGTCACAATGCAGGTTCTCCCCTGCAGTTTACGGGGGGCTTGATGAGCAGCTCAGACTAACGAGCTGGAATCTCAGCAAGCCAGGGAGGCCCTGTGCCTTGGAAGCAGCCCCTGCAGCCCAGAGAAAGAGCAGGCAGTGCTGGACCTCAGTCTGCTCTCAAGGGTCCTTCAAGCCCCACTGAGATGTTTGGGGAGGGCTTTTGGCCTCTGCTATCTCACCTTGCAGGTAATGGGGGGGGGGAAGGATTTTGCTTGGAAGGAAAGTATTTCTCTGATAAGGGAATGTACCTGGGGGGCCCCCAGCATCAGGGCTCCTGGCCAGCCTCACCACCCAGAGACCCACAGAACCTGCAACACCAGCTCCCTTGTGGGTGTAACCCAGGTGAGTCCCACCCCTCCCATTGGGGGAGCCGTTATGCAGGGAGAGGCACGGCCCACGGCCTCTTGCTCACCTCTGAGATTTCTGCAAACTGCGCGTTGGCTTGGCAACACTTCTCGGCCGTCTCCATGGCAACCTCATAATTATCCACAAAGGCCCGATACACTCCCAGCTGGCTGGCCTGCGGTGGGGGGCAAAGGCGGAATGAGACTCAGCCCAGTGCGGGAGAGCAGGGGAGGGTAGAGATGGCTGCCAGCAGCCATTGCCCTCTCGGGAGGCTGTCTGGAGAGCTGGGAAACAGAGGAGACGTTTGCACCAGCCTCCGCCCGCCACTGGCAGGTGCCCCAAGCCAATGGCTGAGCCAAAAGGGGGAGATACGCCCAGACTGGCCCCACTGCCTTTGGCCCCCAGGGGGAAGTGGCCCCTCTTTGATGGGAGAGACCCACGGGTCCAAATCTGGCCATGAAGCCATTTCCTTTGGGAAAGAGCGACAGTCCTGCATGGCCAACACACTTGGAACGACTGTGGAATGCTTTACACCCGACGAGGGGTTTGGCCCAGATGACACCCCTGGGGCAGCATCTCTGCAACCGGATGGCCTTGGTACTTCCAACACACACACCCCAGCCCCCGGCCTTCACAATCACATGGTTGAGCTTCAGGCCCTTGGCAACCAGCCTGCATTTATGACCATCTCTCCCACAGTCGCTGGGGTGATTGGCAGCCCTTTTTGCCCATTTCAGCAAAAACCAACCCATTGGAAGAATAGCCACCCTTTCCTTAATACTTCTGCAGTTCACTTAATGACCACTGTGAGAAATATCAGAAAAACAAGGCCTGTCAGGTGGGCGCCTCCATTTCCAACCATGACTTCCAACCAGATTTCCAGTCCCAATTGTGGTTTTAGGTTTTTCGTGTGATTTTTAGCACTATCAGCTCCTGCCAGCTGAGCGGTTCAAAAGCCTGCAGGTAGGTGAAGGCAGCAGGTGCTTCTCTGGTGGGAAGGTCACTGCGCTCGGAGGCCTCATGCTGGCCACAGCAGCCTTGAAAAGGGGGTGAGCAGCCCCCCTAGAGTTGGCAATGACTAGCGAAATCCACAGCAAGTCTTTTGCCTATCATCATCATCATCATTATCATCATCATTGGCTCTCTCCAGCTGAAGAGGGGCAGACCACAGCATGCTGCCAGCCTTCCTTCCTGTTCCCCCACCACCACTGGTTTCCAGCACCGCCTCCCCCTCTCCTCCCCCTGCACATGCCCAGCAACCTGCTGGTAAAGGAGAACCAGAGCCTCAAGCTGGCTCTGAGCCAGGCAAAAGCCCACCCAAACATCCTGCTCACCAGTTTCTGGAAGAGGTCGCCAACCCGCTGCTGGTGGCTCCACTGGTGGACGCGGGGGGAAAGCCCATCATAGAAGTCCTTGTGGATCTCGTAGAGCTCAGGCACTTTGAAGAAGATGGTCTCGATCTGTTGGCTCGTCAGGACCGGCTGGGAGGTGGTGGCAGCTGCCTTCAGAGGCTTCATGGGCTGAAAGAGGCCAGACACAGAGCCAGATATGCCCTCTGTGGCCCACTGGCCACCTTCCTGGGCATCGGCCTGCCTCTTCAAGCCCCCCCTCCCCTTGAGGAAAGGCCGGAGCTCTTGTGGGACAGTGCAACGGGCCATTCAGGGCTTCCCACTGCGGGGCACAAAGGATCCCCCCCCCCAGCCCCATCACCAGAAATGGCTCCAGCCATAAGGAGCTGAGCAGAAGTTGGGAAAGAATCCAGCAACTTTCTTGCTCGGCTCCCAAGCTGCTGAATGGAGCCCAAGCAGGAGAATTTCTCAGTAACTGCCCCATGTTGCTTCCCTTGGGGAAGGGTCACTTGGTTGCTTCTGCCCAAGTCCAGCCGTAGCTTAGCTGGAGAGTAAACTCCCCCTCCCTCCCCCCCCCCAATCCCCTGGTGCCCTTACCAGCAGGAGAGCCTCAAGGTGACCCAAGTAGGTTTCCTCACTGGCCAGGATGCCCGACAGGACCCACTTCCTCATCTCCAGGCCCTTTTCCAGGTCTGGCTCGCTCTGGAGAAAGGAAGAGGGGGAGACGATGGGAGGCCAGGCCTCTGAGCCCAAGGTGGAGATTTGGGGAGGGGGTGGGAAGGGCCAAAGAGAGTGAAGCTAGGAGGGGGAGGGGCCCAGCATTGAGGCCCAGGTTCACAGCCACCATCCGAGGGCAGTGGAGTAGCATGACTGGCTCTGGGCTTGCAGGAGCTAACAGAATCCAAACTGGCCTGTGAGAGACGGACCAGTTCCTCCCTCTGGGACCCTTCCTCACTCTCCTGGGTCCCTTCCTCACAGAACCCCTCCTGGCTGACTCTGGAGCCATGCCTGCCCAGCGCCCACCAACCCACCGTTATGGCTGCCATGTCAAAATGAGACCAGGGACGGCCACCCCCTCTCCTCCCCCCAACATATCTTGGCCCTCCTTGAAAGCAGCCCCCATGATCCCCGACCCCATCCCCAGCAGGCCAGGGGGTGGATCCCACTGGATCTTTGGGGACTAGGGGACCAAGAAAGGCTCCCTCCTCAGGGCCTCCGGGCTCGAGTGCCATTCGCTCTGGACCCGCAGGCATGGTGCCAGCCAATGTGCCCAGCCAGCCCCAAAGGGGGGGGGGGACTTTCCTCTCTCAGAAGGTACTGCCAAGGAGCTTTCAGGTGGGGGGGTGAAGGAGGGGAGAAGCAGAGTCAGCTTATTTATAACCCGCCAATGGCATCCTTGCCAGCTCAGCTCAGGAAGGGCCTGCCTATTCCAGAAAAGCCATTGAACAGCAGAGAATAAGGAGAAGGGCGGGGGGGAGGGGGGTGTTAGCCAGTTAGGTAGGAAGGGAGCCAGCTGCAGGGGGGGGGAGGTCTTGGCACAAAAGGAAAAGGCTGGCAAAAGCTCTCAGAGAGCCACTCCCTCAGCCTGCAAGATTTTAGCTTCAAAGCCACCACACTGGTCCTACTAAGTAAGCTCTCTCCACACACCCATTTCAGGCCCTGATCACGCCCCATCTATCTCCGCAAAGCAAAATCTCCCTGTCCCTTCTCCCCTTCTTCCTCTCCCCCAACCACCCCCTCTCCCAGGACACACAGCCTGGCAGATTAAAAGGGGCGAGGAGCCAAGGCAACTCAAAGGGGCAGGACTGGCAGGCTTGCAGTGCCCAGAGAGCCCCTTCTGTCAGGGCATGTGGCATGCCACAGCTGGGAAAGGGGTGCCTCTCAGTCTGAGGGGTCTCCTTCCTTGGCTTTTGCTCAACGCTGCAGAGAATGCGGGGAGGCCCCTGCCAATCTCTGGGCCTAGGCATATGCCAAAGAAGCACCTGCCCTCTCTTGGTGCCCTGCCTGCTATCTGCAGAGGGCACCACAAGGGACGGGAGCAGGAGCCTGTAAGCCCGTGGCCAAGCCAATTCTTCACCTCTACAGTTGGCATCTTGATTTATTCTGAGTCCCAACCGACACTGAGAAGAGAGGCCTGGGGGAGGGATCCAGATCCACAAAGTGGGGGCTTCTGTGGGGCAGAGCCCACGAGCGAAGGCTGTCATGAATTCTGCCAGGCTCCACCTTCCCTCTTGGGGTGTGGGGAGGACTGTGGCTGGCCCTTGGGAGGGATGACCTCTGGGAAGGACCAGCACAACAGAAAGGCCCCTCCCTTCACCCCGAGAGAATTCCACAGGGAGGGGAACAGAGGGAGCGCCTTCACGGGAAGGAAAGCAGGAAGAGGGCCCTTCACCCAGGGACACGACTGAGAGCTCTGGGGGGAGGTGCCTGAGGGAGGCCCTCAGAGAGACCCAGAGACTTGTGGGGGGGGGGAGTTGCTTCCTGCCCGGAAGGGCTTTGAACCCAGCACAGCAGCCCTGGACGAAGACAAACACACACGCATGCACGCACGCACACGGGCGTGCACAGGAGAAGGGCCGGGGTAAAGCAAACAGAGACAACCTGTAGAAAAGTTGGGGAGATGCAGGAAAAGAATCCAGGTTCCCTCAGCAAAAGGAATCCCATCTCCTGCCCAATCAGGAACTCTTTTGTTGCCTCCTGTTTGGGCCGGTTTTTATGTGATGTGAAGCCATCAGGGCAGCCTGAGTGGTCAAAACTTCCTGACATAAGCCAGGAGATCTCCCCAGGAGATTCCCAAGGCCTCGTGTGGCTTCTAGGCCTATGGGTGAAGCTGCCCTTGCGCAGAGTAGAGGACCCTGCAAGGGAGGCCCAGACTTACAGGCTGGAGGTGCTGCACATCGTCATCGGGGCGGCCAGTCCGGGTGCAAGTCTGGATCCTGCCATCAACCCAGGGATGGCGAACGCCTCCAATGGCACCAAGGGGCAGAGGCTACAGAACCTGCCCCCCACAAAGCCAAACTTCCAGCTCCCTTCTTTGCCCCAGGGCGATGTAGCAACAACTCACTGATTTGGAAGATTCCAGGGACCCCGAGGAGAAGCCATCTCGGCTGCCTCGACTCTTGGAGCTGAGATGGGGTGAAGAGGAGGGGGAGTCATCAATGAAGGGCATGATGTCATGGTGGTGCCTCTGCTCCTCAGCTCTGTCCACATCGTAGACGTAGCCTGGTGCAAGGCCACCAAAGGAGAGATCTGCAAAAGGAAGGGAAGGGAGAATAGGAAGGGGGCCCCACAGCATCCTTGGGCTCCTCCGCTTGATCTAGGCATTCAGGAGCTGCTCTGTGGTTCCCTGATCATCCCCATTTTCCTTCAGAGGATCTCCGGGAGACCTTGCTAATCCGGCACCCTTGGACAATCGTCTCAACCTTTCCAACGAAAGCATAATTGAGATCAATTCAATTTCAGAGCATGCAGAAAAACAGTCTTGTCACCAGGAGATGACTGGAATGTAAAGCTACAAGTTAAATTTTGTTATGGTACAAAGTCTACTAGAATAACACATGTTGGACTCCTCCCAGCACAAACCTGTGGGGAAAATGGAAAGCTGCATTTTGTGCCTTAATCTGTAACCGCAGTTGTGATGTGTGACTTGTGACTCTTTTCCAAACAGAGAACCGAAAACCCTGAAGGAGCCCAGGTCTATCAGGCCAGCTCATTCTGCTTCAGGGGGGTTGAGTGGGGCCCATGCGGAAGATGGCTGCCTCTTCCCCTGCCTGGAGACTCCACCAAACTGCTAATAACACCATTTCCATGTGGACATTCATGATGAAAAGACAGATTTGGGGACCACCACAAAACTGAAAAGGAGGCAAAAGCCCTGAGGAGAATGTCCACAATGACAAGTGAGGCCTTCAGCACACAACGTGCAAGCTGAGGATTTATTTGATGAATCCCCTTCAACCAATTCCCTGCTCCAGGGCAAGAGGAAGACTGGTTTGTCTCTTCCCAGAGAGGCTTCCATGGCCCTTCTCTCCCACCACGTGTAGCCCATCTGACGAGGTGGGAGAAAAACAAGATGGGCATGTGACCATGGGCAGGGCTCCCCGGTACCAACTCTGCCGGCTCCAGTCACAGAATGATCAAAGCCTGAATGCGAACTCCACCCCCCCAACCCCAGTATCCTGTGGAATTTGGGGAAAACAAGCATCCGTCTCTTTCTCCATTTCCCTACACTACCTCTGTTAACTAACTCCCTCCAAATATTCTACCAATCCAGAAAATACAAAATAAAAATAATACAAATTCTGTTTATCTGTAACATTCAAAGGAGAAAAACGGGAGCATCGTAGGGCAACAATTTTGAATCTAAGTACATCAAATGGGCTAACTTAAAGAATGCATCCAAAATCTGGGACCCAGGACTCCCCTGGGATTGAAATTTCAAGGATTTTCAGACTGAATCTATTGGCAGACTGGCAGCCACAATGCCTTCGCCAGCTTCCCACAAGAAAAGTCAACGGAGAAGCCAGCAGAGAGTTAGAACATAAATATAAAGCACCAGCCTATCTTAAACACAAGGAATAACTGCATACACCATAATTCAAGGGCATCAGCATCTCACATTGCATGTGATTAGTCCCAAATGACCTTTTGAAACAATCTAGATTCCGGGGGGGGGGGGTGTTACTCACAGTGAATGCTCACTTCTAAATCCTACCTGCCAAACATCCCAGCAAGGGGAACCTTCAGCAGGTATCCTCCACATGCCCTGGCCATGCAGATGCTACCTGAAGCAGACATTTGTGGGCTTATCCTATGTAGGACTTTAACCGCCTTGGATGGCACTTACAAACCAACTCAAAGTCAACACAGCTCCAACTGAAGTCGTGTGATGTGAACAGGTCCACTGAGATATAAACACCAGCTGAAGTGAAGGCCGAAGTGAATTGACACTGTGGCTCTGTGGAACGAGTTACCAGCAGAGATCCGGACCCTTCCCACCCTTGCGGCCTTCCAAAAAGCCACCAAAACCTGGCTGTTCCAGCAGGCTTGGGGTTCCTGATTCAAATCAGGTTCAACCCCCAATTAAACCAGATGTATGTTGGGTTTTTAAATTGTTTGTTATTGTTTGTATTCTCCCCCTGTATGTTATTTTATTTCATTCGTATTTGTAAGCCACCCTGAGCCCCCCGGGATTGGGCGGCATATAAACCCATTAAATTACGAAATTACGACTGACTAAATCAAGAGAGAACACAGAGAGAGAATACAGAATAATAGCGCTGGAACGGGCCTTGGAGGTCTTCTAGTCTGCTCAAGTAGAACTCTATAACCGTTCAGGACCAAAACATGATTATCCTCCACACACACCATTTCTGAATGACCACAACTAGGACATCAATCAAAGCTTTCCTTGCCTGTCTTCTAGAATGAGGGGAACCCCTTGAAATATAGTTAAGGGTAGAAACCCTCCACACAACACTCATGGCTCCTAAGAAATTTCATGAATGCCTCTCC